TTAAAAATAAGCATAACATCAATACCAAATGAGCATACATAATAACATACAAAGTGCACATTGATATGAAAATTGTAAGATTTGTTAGTTGAACATCATGACATTTTATTTGAGCATCAAACTTCCGCTATTGAGATAAAAATCACGGTATTGTTGAGTATTAGGAATCTAATATTTAGAATCGTGATCTCTACTTCATAACTTCTAATTCACTTTCTTCTTTTTTATTTTTCCTTTTATAAAAACTTATTAAATTATAGTTATAATCAACTCCTATGAATTTCAATATGTGAATCTAATGTAAAATAGTGAATTTATTGAATCATTAATTCCATAATAGATTCTGAAATTTCGATTTTAGGAACCAAACTTCTGAATGGGACAAGAATAAAGAGAGAGTCCTTTTCTACATGTAAATACATACAAAAATGAAAGTTTTAGTAAGAGGAAAATCCGTCGACTTTAAAAATTGTGAGGGTTCAAGTCCCTCTATCCCCAAAAACCTAGTAGATTCCTATCCTTATCCCCTCCCTTTGTCTTTTTAGTGGTGATTGTTTAAAGTTAAAACTAAAGTGTAAAGGTCCTTTTATTATAAGTTAATATGTGCATTGATATGACATATAGAAAATGAGCATAAGATCAGTACCAGACGATTATATGTAACTTACAAAATGCGCATTGATATGAAAATCGTAAGGTTTGTTAGTTGAATATCACGACATTTTAATTGATCATCAAACATCATCTATTGAGATGAAAATCACGGTTTCTGTTAAATGAGCATTAATGAACTTTTACTGAGCATCACATCTGTCTTGTTGAGTACTAGGAGTCTGATATTGAGCATCGTGATCTCTGTTTCATATCTTTTAATTCACTTTCTTTTTTTATTTTTCTTTTATAAAAAATTATTAAATTGTATCTATAATCAACTATTATTAATTCCAATATGAGAATTTAATTTAATTTTATACTTTTGAAATATGCATTAGTACGAAAAATCGTAAATTCTTCTAGTTGAGTATCAATACACTTTCATTGAGCATTAAACTTCACCTATTGAGTATTAAAAACATGCAATTGAGTATCGTGACATTTGCTGCTATGTCTTCTAATTCACTTTCTTGTTATTAGTTTTTTTCTTTTGTTGAATTGCTTAAATTATGTCTATATTTAACTTCTATGAATTCTAACATGCGAATCTGATGTAATATGATACTTTTGAAATATGAATTTGTATGACATTTTAAAATAAGCATAATGTCAGTACCAAATGAGCATACATAACTTACAAAAAGGGTATCGAAAAATCCAAAACGTCATTTGAAATCGCTAATGTGCTCAAATCCTCATTTGTTTATGCTCATTTCGTTTAAGCGTTATGTTCATTTGGTTTGTGAGAGCGAGGCGGCAAGGGTTCGATTGATTTGTCAGGTCAATCTCAACAGAATCTAGTCTATAGAGAGCATTAACATTATCATATAGAATCTCTGCAGCACCGCAGATGGAGGAACCGCAATGGACCTGAGACGCCTGAATTTTGATGGACCGGGACGCCGGCAATTGCGTAATCCAGTCTAGACTCATACGAAGTATTTCAATCTATTTTTAAAAGAATGAAAAGGTAAAAGAGTCAATTCCCTAAATAGGACTAAAAAGTGGCAAAATTGCACAAATAGGACTACATTTTTTAAATTCCCTTAATAGGACTATTTATGTGTGTTTGGACAAATATACCTTTGTAACTTGTGAAATGTTTTAATTAATAATAAAATCATAAAAAAAATAATAAAAATCGAAAAAATACTAAAAATCGTAAATCAATAATAGAAAATTAATAAAAATATTTTTTAAAAAAATTTTAAAAAAAAAAATTAAATAAAAAATAAAAAAAATCGTAAAATTAAAAAAAAACATTACCACCCCTGCCACCCCCAACACCACCAGCTCCCATCACCGGAGAAAAATATGACAATATTTTAAATAATGTCATAATGATGGCATATTCAATGAAAATGTTGGCATATTGAAGAGTAATTATGCCATCTTTTTGACATTTTCAGAAAAAGATGGCATTTTTTACCAAAAGTGGGAGAAATTTCACCAATCGGAGGTGGGGGTGCTGGGAGGCGGTGGGAAAGGTATTCATAATTTTTTTTCATTTTTTATGGGTTTTTACTACATTTTATTATTATTTTTTTAAAATTAAAAAAATAAAAATTAAATTTTTTATTTTATAAATGTTTTATAAATTTTTTATAAGTTTTTTACGTTTTTTAAATATTTTTTTATGAATTTATTATGAATTAAAGCATTTCATTATGAATTAATACTCTTAAGGGTATTTAGGGTAGAAAATTAATGTTTAGTCCTATTTAGGGAATTTAAAAAGTAGTAGTCCTATTTGTGCTTTTTAGGAACTCATTAGTCATATTTAGGACAATTTCCGAAAGTAAAAGTGTCAAAGAAGAAAATATTTTTTAAATCAAATAACTAATTTATTAATAAGCAGCGATAGCAAAAATACAAGAGAATGAATAGCCTGAGGCTACAATGAGATGAGACATAGAACGGAACAGATTCAATGAATCCTTCTAGATTGCTAACCCCACAATAATGTAGTCTAGTCTAACAGCTTTGCTGATCTTTTTGCTACTCCAAAGAGAAATTAAAAAATTATAACTAAAGGATCCGACTTCACCCGCCACCAGAAAGGGAGAATTGGTTTGACCAGCAACCAACAAAGGGAAATCAGTCGAGTAGAATTTTTTTGAAGCATCGGTTTGACCAGCTACCGAAAAAGAGATTCGCTTGATCATCTTCTTCTTCCCAGAGTGAGGCGGTGGTTCAGGTGGTGGGCGAGTATTTGAAACATCAGAACAACAAGATTGAAAAAGCTTCGCCGGATCGATTACACCAATTAGAAACGCACAGCCTCTAGACATTGCTAGGAGAATAACATACCACACGCTCACATGAAGCGGACAAAATTCTCGGCCAATGAAGAAGTCGGACCAAATTCCTTGAAAACAGAAATTGAAAAAGAGCGAAAGCATAGAAAAACCTTGGATTCGATCTTTAATTGCATAGAAAATGTCTTCATCTTCCAAAATCGGATCTTGAAGGGGGTTGGGGATGGCCGCCTAGGGTTTCCCCTAGGGCCGGCTCTCTATCACGTGTCAAAGAAGAAGATTGAATAAAGAAAAGTAGAAAACGGTCATTGCTTTGCGCCAACTCTGTGAAATCAAGATGGGAAATCAAGAAGAAACAGCAGCAGCAGTTCTATCTCTTTCAAATTTTGTGTGCTCCGAAAAGCCAATCTTTTGTCAGCAGACCAGTTCTTCTCCGACGGCATCCTGCTCCCCCTCTACTACCCTGCTTCCGGGGACACACAAATCCGACCTTCACCGGACCTTCAATGGAAAAAGTCTGTTTGTCTGCTGATATCAATGGCTAAGGTTCGTGCAACATATATGGAGCTGGAGAAGAAGCCTTAGAGTTGCATGGAATTACAAAAATACCGGGTGTATCTGTACACCCGGGTGTAGCATATAAATTGCCAATTTCTTTAGCAGTTTTTTCGTTCTCCTGCCATTTTCTATACATTCCAAACATTGCTTAGTATACGAAAGGATGAAAAGGGCTTGACCTCCAAAGGCTAAGCATCAGTGGGGGGTTGGTTTCCAATTCCAGCTCTAGCATCTCCCACTTGGGAGACCGGCATTATCAATGCCCCTTCAAGAGCATCTGCCTGCCCAACATCTCTAACATCTCCGCAAAAGCAAATCATGTGCGATAGGTGGTGCAATTGAGATCATCAGTCATCCTATTCCCATCTATTTCCATAGCTTCCACTTTCCCATCAGAATCATCTAAACCCAGATCAAAATAAGAATCTCTTCTATCAGCCTGAACACCTGAACACCTGAAGCCACCAACATAGCGTCAGTCTCAAATATCACCCGATTCCGGCCCCTTTCCAATGCTACTTGAGTCGCTGACCAAAGCCCCAAAGCTTCCGCTTCCATCAGTGTCCAAGATGCCTTCCTAACCTCTTTCCATCATGCCCCCATACTATAAAGCATCCATCCTTGTCTCGTGCCAGCCACCCCCACACTCTAACCCCTCTAGACTTGTCAAACGCCACATCTACATTTACTTTGATCCATCCCACACTTGGTTTTGTCCACCCATTCGATCCCCCGCCAAACCTTGGTGTGCTGCCGTCTTTTTAACCTGCTGCGCAGCTCTCCAACCAAGCAGGCAAGCAGTGAAGCAGCGGCCTTATTTATCACTGCCCTTGCTTCAAATTCCACTCCTTTCCACACCTCTTGATTCCTTACCTTCCAAACTCCCCATACCACCATAATGAAGTTGCAGCAGGCCTCCTCTCTCAAACCAGTAAAATACAGCTTTTACCCACTCAAGAAAACCTGCACTAAACTGAAAACAATTTCCCAGAAACTGCCACACCAACTTTACCTTTTCAGATGCATAGAACAAATGAAAAACTGATTCAGCATCCCCATTACACACAGAACACACAGCATCTATATTAACTCTTTTTTGCTTCAGCTCATCAACTGTGGGGAGATATGTGTTCGGGTGAAGATTGCCAATTTCTATATGGTCATCCTCTGTAGTCTGTATTAACTAATGTATAGTAGTCCAGATATGTGTGTGTTTAAAGATGATCATTGTTTGACATAACTAAATTATCAAGTCTATAGTATGCATCATAGAGTATGCTTGGTTTTGATATTTTGGATATAGGTTTTACTTTTCTCGTTTTGAATTAACAGTCATAAATGTTATGTACCGGAAAATAGTTTCAGCTACCTACACATTTGAAATGTGAATACGTGTATAACCTTATCTTAGTTTGTATTGAATTTTATATGTAGAATTTTATGTGCTTTTATTTAGAAATCGTTTGAAATTCCTATTTTCAGGTTATTAGTCTTATTAACTAATTCTATTATCAAATAGAGAACTTTGGATTACAAAAAAAGTTGGAGACTTTGAGAGCCATTAGATCTCGATACATTATATCATTTCTCATTTCTCACATTAAATCTTTAACCTATCCAATGTATGTGTGTGTGTGTGTGTGTGTTTGAGCTGAACTTTATTTTTAATGTTGCAAATAGAACAGATGCACAAGCAAGAAGCTACAAGAAATAAAACAAGGGATTGAAAGTAGGCAATAGGATTTAGATCATTCAACCTAAATGAAAACATTATCTGGGAAATTAATCAAAGAGCACGTCGCAATCCTTTGGGCTTCTTGACATAACTAAGCCGGATTTTCTTAAGAGTTCTCCTCTTCCTAGCCATCTTCTCAGGCAAAGTCTCCCTCCGTTTCTTCTTCTCCTTAGTAGCAGCGGCAGCAGCAGGTTTTTTCTTTGCAAGCCTTGGGTCCAACTTATATGCCTTCACATCAACTGCCACCCCATTGCTCGCTGCCTCTTTGGAAAGTGCATTTGCCTTGTCCACACGGCCATGAGCAACTAACCTTCCCATCAGTAAGTCATATGTCTTGCTCCCCGGTTTGCAACCATCTTGTTTCATCTTTTCGAAAACAGCCACAGCATGATCAATCCTCTCAATGCCACATAATATTTTCAGAAATCCATAATATGTCTTCGTATCAAGTGCGTCTCCGTACCCTGCAGACTTCATCCTGTCGATCATTTCATCCCCCTCTCCGACCCTTGCAGCCTGATATAAACTCCTAATGAGTGTGACAAATGTGGTGGCGTTTGGATTACAACCCCATTCCCGTCCCATCTCATAGAACAACCCCACTGCGGCATGAGTTTGTCTAATCTTACACAAATTAGAAATCAACACATTGAACGTCTCCACATCTCGTGGGACACCCTTCTGTTCCATTTCTAATAACAACTTATCCACCTCAGGTTGAAGCCGGAAAGGATCCTTCTTCCTGCAAAGCTTACAAACACAATCAAGAATTGCATTATAGGCACAAGTGCCAATCTCAAATCCTCCCCTATACATCTCAGCAGCTAATCTCTGTGCCTCATCAAGTTTCTGATCAACACACCATCCCTTAATTAACATGTCACAAACATATTGATCAGGGAAAAACTCACTAGCTAAACTTTTCACCATTTTCTCAGCATAACTAGCAAAACCATGTTCACAGAGCTTTGTAACTACCAGTTTAAGGGAATCCAAGTTCCTAGTGAACCCGTACTCTTTCTCACATTTCTCAAAAAATGAGACTGTCTGGCTGGGCCTCCCTGCCCGGACCAGCCAATCAACCATGGACTCTAGGGTTTTAGCCCCAATAACACCACGGCCTCCCACAAGCACGTCATGCGCAGCCTTGAAATCCTTTTTCCTGCCCAAATAATCCACCACGTAAGAGTAAACTCCATCGTCTAACTCGAAATTAGGCCTCGATTTGATCCAATCGAGAAATCCAAGCACCGACCGGCCGGCATCAGGGCAGCCATTGAGGGTTGCCAGGATCAACGGATGCGAGAGAGTGACGTGGGAGAAGGAGAGGTCGAGTCTTTGCAGGACAGGGAGAGTTTCTACCTCTGGATCTTTGAGAAGCTCAGCGGAGAGAAGCCGTGACGTAGCTTCCTCTTTGCTATTTTCAGCATTGGGGCCGGCGGCGGCATTCTTATCAGCAGCCTCAGATGAAAATGACCTGAATGTTGAGGAATAAATATAAACGGGCGGATTTTCTCTGAAAGCCGCGGAGGAGAAAGAAGAGAGATCAGGCCGCGGTGGCAGGAGGTGAGATTTGGAGTTGATAAGGTAAGTTTGCGAAGTTGTTGTCGAAGAAGAGATACGGCGGAGGATGGGGAGAGCGATAGACCTGCGCATTTTGAATGCTACAGCGAGACAGTGGCGGCGCACCTTCAGTCGTCCCGCTCCGCTCCGCTCCAGTATTACACCAGGCGCAATCCTGCGAAATCCACTCTTTTAATTAGGGCTGGGATTTTGGAACCGGGAACCGAAAAAATGACCGGAACCGAACCGATATACCGCGGTTCGGTTCGGTTCCTATTTATGGTGTTAAAATAATTATCGGTTCGGTTCCTATCCTATAATATCGGTTCGGTTCTCGGTTTGTTATAATTATTTTGGCTTAGAACCGACATGGAACCGTTAATACATTATTCATTCTAAAATCTTAATAGTTAGAGTGTTAGACAGCTGGTGGGTTATGCGGTTTATACTGTGGCTAATATCAAAGCCCACTAGACAACCTTTAGTCATCTTCATCCTTTACCCTGCAACGCTCACTACCCCCAACATTAGGAGGAAAACCCTAGCCTCTTCCCTGCTCTGCGGCTCTGCTACGCTCTTGCAGATTCAAATTCTCTCATGTTTCTATGAATTTCATAGCTTCCTCAAAGGAGAGATCATAGATAGTAGGTAAGCATCTCTTGTTATCTGTATTTTTTAATTCAAACTTTCGTAGCTACTAGCAAAACCACCAAAGTCTCACCTTCTTGTTCTGGTCAGCGACGCTTCTTCTGGTGTGGGATCTCCTATCAAGAGTTAAAGAGTGAAGCTTCTGCTCGTTTTAGTTTTCTTGCTCCGGGGCTCCCTCCCATCAAAAGCGAAGAGGATAAGGTAAAGAAGCTATCTAACTTCATTTCTCTTTTAAACAATTTTTTTTGTTTTTCCATATGTGAATTATTATCTATTTTATCTCTTCTACAAAAACATCTATCAGGACTCGTATATTGTTTTTCTTCCCAGCTGATTCAGATTGTTAAATTTTGGCTTATGAATAGGTATTTTTGGGTTAAGTTCTTCTGTTTGGTGTAGATGTCTGGTCGTATTCAGAAGCTCGGTTTTGAGATTTTCAGATTTGATTTGGTTGCAGATGGAATATTTATGAGCTGGTTTTATTTTTTTCTTGGGGTGTGAACTACGGGACGATTGATTCCATTTCCGTAAAATGAATAATGATCAATAGCATATGCATTTGTTAGTGTTGTTCTTGTTCCAAGTATATACCTTATTTGTGTATGAATAGAATTGAATCAACTTCGTCTAAAAAACTGGAAGTTTTCCTTGGAACTAAATGATAGTAGAATCAAACAGCTTCTCTCAAAATATTCAGCTTTTAGTGACTATTTTGACAATTAATGTTTGTAATGCTTTTATTATATATCAAATGGCCATGTATTCTGAAGAGTTGATGCAGTTCAATACAGCCCTAACGGCCTAACTTTGCAAACTAAGTTATGTTTGCAATGTAGAGCTGCAATATGTGAATGGAGTTTTTAGTGAAGAGCTGCAATATTTGAGTATGTTTCATAGAGTTTTTATATCCTAACACTCAAATATCTACTTGCAAATATTGTTATATTCGAGTTGTTGTCGAGGCATTTACAACACATAAACTAGCATGTAAGTGTATTCACATAAAACGTAACATAGTGTTCTGACATAGTCAATAATGGTAATCTTACTATATCTTTGTTATTTAATGTCAATTTAATATATTTTTTCAGGTTTGATTTACTTGAAGCTACACACCAGTTCTGGTTTGTTTGAGCATCTACAATCATCCTTGTTGATCCATTAGAATCATATTGACATATTCTAATTATGTATTGAACAAACTTTTTGTTTGTTAAGTTTTTAATATTTTAATTAATTTTTAAACATTTGATGTTTCATGTGATTGTAATGTTGATTAAAGATATTTATTGAAGAGTAACTATGTTTTTAGGAACCGATAAAAAGCAAGAACCGAACCGTTAGGCCATGGTTCGGTTCCTTAACGGTTCTTTAAAGTTTTGACTAGAACCGAACCGATATTAAGAGTTACTCATTTCTTAACGGTTCCACCAATTTTTGATAAGAACCGAACCGGTCCCAGGCCTACTTTTAATTACATCGGAAAAGAATTAATCAACTCTTTTTAGTTTTAAAAATGTATTGGACTAATATTTATTTGACGCATTGAATAATCACATAAGATTAAAGTTTTTTTTAACTGAACTAACTAAAGTTACTCCTAGGGCTCGGCCGCTAGGGTTAGCATCTCCGATCTCGGCTCTTGGCCGGGGATCGGGTATCGGTTTAGCAAGGAGGAGGATCGGAAGAAGTAGAGGACGGAGATATCAGGCGTAGTGCAGACGGCTTCAACGAGACTTGGAGCGGACATCTCGGCCGAAGAAGTTTTTTGCATGGAGGATATAGTGGATTCATATAGGAAGGTGTCGATGAAGGAACAGGATTCGGAGCTCAATTTTGACAAGGAGTCAGAGGATGGTAGCGAGGGGGAGAAGGAACCGGTGACTTTTCCGGTGGTTGGGGTTGTCATCACTGACCGCAAGGTCAAATTACCTGGATTTCAAGAGCTGATGACCTCGATCTGGAAGCCAGGGAAAGGTATGTCTATCAAAGAAATCGGCAAAAGAAGGTATTTGCTAAATTTTAATCATGTTTTGGATATGAACCGTGTGATAGAGGATGGCCCCTGGCTTTTTGAGCGAGATTTAATTTTGCTAAAGGTTGTGCAACCAGATGATATACCGGAATCCATGAATTTGTTTGAGGCTAGTTTTTGGGTACAGGTTCATAATGCTCCTATTAAGTATAGGAATTTAAGATCTGCCAGAAAAATTGGTAATTTTTTAGGCTCTTTTATTAAATTTGAGATGTGCCATTTTGATGGAAAGCAGAGTTCTTATCTGCGAATTCGAGTGTGTTTGGATGTCCATCAACCTTTGAAAAAAGGTACCAATTTAACGCAGGATGGGGTGAAACATTGGGTAGATTTTAAATATGAAAAACTACCCAGTTTTTGCTTTATTTGTGGTATTATTGGGCATTCAGACAAGTTCTGTCCATTAAAGTACGAAGAGGACTTTGTAGCTGAAAAAATTATGGAGTGGAACTTAGAGCTGGAGGAAGGGCGAAGACTAGCCCGACATGATTTAATAAATGGTTATCTGATGGAGCTTCTAGCTCAGATGGATTTGGAGGACCGAGGAAGGCTGATCTTGGGGTAGAGAATTCGGCTGAGTCCAAGGCAGGTAAGCTGGCACCGCAGGAAAGTGAAGACAGGGTAGTGGCTCCTGGAGATCCAAAGCGCAGAAGGATATGGAATGACCAGGCTAAAGAGGGTGCAGATGGCGAAGGGATGACTCTGGATGGGCCAAAAAATGGGGAGGGGGCGGGTCAGGTCTCCTAGACCCGCCTTATCTCTGTTGGGCGGCAGTGGGGAAGAAAACTTATAATGGTGTTTTTATTATTGTCTACTTTGGTTACTTTAAATTAGGTTGCTTTGTTATGTTTTGCTTTTGTGCTTTTATTCCTTGTAAGACTCTTGCATTAAGGTTGGGGGGAGGGAAAGTCTGCGGTAACCGTCATTGGCTTTAAGTTGCCCAATTTTGGTCTAGCGAGTTATACTGCTTTTTTACAGGTGGTTAGCTCTCAGTCTCGGCCACGGGCGGATGGTTATTTGTGATCTTTTTCTAGCTTAGTACCCTTGCTGAATGCTATTTTTATGAATTAAGCCTTCTTCGAGCAAAAAAAAATCGAACCAACTAAAGTTAATGTAAATGAATATTTTAAATATATTTTAATAAGGGTGAGTTCGGTTACCGGAGTCGAGAGCTTCTCTCTCTAAAACCTTCGGAGTTCCCTAGGGTTGCGGCCGTTGGGGTTTCAATTTCCGATTTCGGTTGCTACGAAGATCGGTGATACCGGTGTGGTGAAGGCAACGAAGGCAGTGGACGGGATTCTCGTTTTGACAGGCTCGTTTTGTGGCTTGAATTCGGACGAACAGAAAGAGAATGGATATGTTCGATTGGGATTCAGGCGAACGAACGGAGAAGGATTGAATGGAGGATATCGTCAACATTTACAAGAAGATGACCATCGAATAGGGGTGAGAAAAACCGAACCGAAACCTGTAAACCGACCCTGGACCGACCCAAATTATGATCCCGGTCCGGGTTTTTATTTTTAACCGGCCCGAATTAAAAAAAAACCCGGACCGAACCCGAAATTCCGAGCTCATTAATGGGCCTTAAAATCTATAACCCGGCCCAGATCGATAAAAAACCGAAACAATTAGCTTTAATATAAAATTAATATAATATATGAATATAAATTTATAAATATTTTCTAATATATGATTATAATCACGGTGGATAAAAATAATAATTTAGTAACTTGTAGTGACTACAAATATGTTCAATTTGTTTAGCGTAATGACCATGAAAATATATTTATAGCAACTCTAGTCACATTTTTATATATAAATTGTATTTCGTAAATTTTTTAGGAAACCTATATTATTTATTTATATGCATATTAAATAAAATATTAAGATAACTATCATTTTTGGATTTGAATTGTTGGTGATTTTGGAGACTAATATTTATATTATTATTTGCGGTTTGTATTTTTGATTAATTTTATTTGAAAATAGGTGTTAAAATATAAAAGAACAATGACATATTTCACGTTCGGGCTTTAACCGGCCCTACCCGAACCCAAGTTACCAAAAACCCGACTCGGACCGAATATAATGGGCTTTGTTCCGGTCCCTAATTTTCATAACCCGATACCTTCCGGATAATTTTCGGGTTTAGCAAAAACCCGACCCAGACCGGACCGATCCCACCCCTGCTATCAAAGAGAAGGAGAACGAAGTCAATTTTGACGATGAGGCAGCAGAGGACTTCGAGGAGGTGGACGAGCCGAGGGTTTTTCCGGTGGTTGGGGTCGTGGTCACAGACCGAAAGGTCAAGCTTCCGGGGTTCCAAGAACTGTTGGCTTCGATCCGGCGGTCAGGAAAAGGTATGTCCATCAAGGACATTGGAGAAAAAAAGTAGCTCTTTAATTTTAATCATGTGCTGGATATGTATCGTGTGCTTGAGGATGGTCCCTGGTTGTTTGAACATGATCTAATTCTTCTAAAAGTTGTTCAACCAGATGATATACCTGAATCAATGAATTTGTTTGAAGCTAGTTTTTTGGTACA